ACGCGTGGTTTCGTTTACTACACACATACTGAAGTGCGCAGTGTTTTCAGCTTCTGCTGTCTCGCTAAATGAGAACATAAATACATGAACAACAGTCAGTGTCTGCTCTATTATAAATAATTTATATTTTAAAAATACCCAAAACAGCGGAATTACAAGATGGAAATATAGACTAGAAAGACATTTAAACTTGCACTGCCCTTACGTCTATGACATTGACTCACTGCGGAGTTGTTTTGGCAATCTTTCCAGCTCTTAACGCCGAATGTGCTCTTATGGTTTGATACATGATGGGCTAATGTAGAAGCAAATAACTTAAAAAAATAGCTTTAAATAACTTTTAAAAATAAACCCCTTTGTATTGCATTGCATATTGTATGTTCAGGAATGACAGATTGAGAAGCAGACATGCTATTTATGACTGGATGTAACTTTTCATACTTTGCAGTAAAAGCGGCTCTCCTATTAACTTTGTCCTATAAGTGCGGCTCTCGTGAAAAAAATTGTGAAGATCACTGCTATATATGATATGGAGCCTAGTTGTCTTGATTTTAAGTCACCTTAAACATTTTACCTTTTAGTTTTATCCCATTTTACTTTTCAATTTTGACATATTTGGGAGTAAATTAGATATTCAGTGAGAAAGAAATAACACAGGACATCGGTGATAAACCATAAACCGTCATGATATAATCAGGATGATTTAATGCCTCTATATGACTGAAAATACATCCAAAATTCACTTAATTTAAATATGTAAATAAATAATTTATTCATTCTTTTAATTTAAGATTGTACCTGGTGTCTGTTAGTATTTGACTGGATGGTGAAAAAAAGTGTTTCTTTATTAAGGTGGTTGAAAATGACACTTAAGATGTGAGAATCAGTATTTAATGTGTTTTAATGAAGATTTTGAGTTGATAAAAGCTGTGTTTTCTCTCCAGCGTTGTTTTCTCAGGTGGCCATTCTGGCCGCAGTCTTAGCGCTGGTGGTCATCGCCATTATCTCCATCATCATCCTCATCGCTGTGTGGAGGAAGGTCAGTGACTTCACATTCGGTCTGTCTGTCTGAGACTTAGCATTTAGATTTAATATTACTGGACTGGAACTCCACGTTGTTTTCCCTGCAGAAGCCACGCTATGAAATCAGGTGGAAGGTGATCGAATCGGTCAGTTTGGATGGACACGAGTACATCTACGTCGACCCCATTCACCTGCCCTATGACCTGGCCTGGGAGATGCCGCGGGACGGTCTGGTGCTGGGTGAGAGCGGGGCACACTTACTGAACACACACAGAACGCTGTTTAGAGTCCCAGCCTCAGAGGAGACAACAGAGCAGTGGATTTATTGATTCATTTACTGTATATTACGCTGCTGCCACACAGATCTAATATAAACATGTCATTTCTTTCCCAGCTGTTTACCTTCACAGAAATAAGCGACTATTTTTGTAACTTGTGCACGTTTTTAACATAAACTTGTGTGTGTTTGACAGTTTAAGCGCAATAAGATGTGAAAGAACTTAGTTTATTACTCACATGCTGTGTGACAGCCGCTTTCTGTCCGCGTGCTTCGGATGTGTGCGCTCAGATATCAGAAGTTTAAACTAATATGGTTTAAAACACATGGTTTCGGCGCGATACACATGATAATCAAAACCAAACTGATCAGGGTTGCCAGGTTTTCACAACAAAACCGCCCAATTGCTACTCAAAACTAGACCAAAACTAGCCCAATCTGGTTTCGAGTGGGGTCCCCCGTTAAACGTTCCGGGGGATAAAATACAGGGTTTTTTTTCAGTGTTCCCCTGGTAAATTCACATTTCAGGGGCTAAATATGATGTTATTGGGGTCGCTCCAACCCGCGGCAGCAGTGTTAAAGTAGCCCAATTCCGCAGGAAAACCGCAGACTTGGCAACACTGAAACAGATGTTTTTTAGCAGAGTATCAGCAATACCAGCTGTAAAGGCACAGCCCTATTCTGGAAAAGGGGGCAGGGAGCAGCAGCTCATTTGTATTTAAAGAGACATGCACGAAAACAGCGTGTTTATGCTTCCACTCAAAATAGGCATTTTCAAAATGATATAATAAATGATCTGTGAGGTACAGTATTTTGAGCTTAACTTCACAGACGCGTTCTGGGGACACCTGAGACTTATATTACATTTTGTAAAAAGGGCCATAATAGGTCTCCTTTAACAGCTATTTAGCAGCTTCCTAGCAAAAGCTTAAAACACCCGTGTCCATATGTTTTTGTACTGAAATGTGTGTTGTTTCTTCAGGTCGGACACTTGGATCTGGAGCGTTTGGGCGTGTTGTTGAGGCGACGGCGTACGGACTCGGCCGTTCCCAATCCGCCACTAAAGTGGCAGTGAAAATGCTGAAATGTGCGTGCGAGACACTCGGTTACATACACACGTATGTGAGTGTGATTGATAGTTGTAGTTAATCATGTTGTCTGCTCACTGCAGCGACGGCTCGGAGGAGCGAGACTCAAGCTCTGATGTCTGAACTCAAGATCATGAGTCATCTGGGTCCTCACCTCAACATCGTCAACCTGCTGGGCGCCTGTACCAAACACGGTGAGCAGACAGCAGGGGGTTAAGCAGTCAAACTGTCCTAGATGTTTAAAGCTGCTAAACTACTTAGGTCAAATATTTTGATGTGTTCTTTTCAGGTTTGTTGTATATTGTGTATTTATTTATTTGCTCTGCAGGTCCGCTGTATCTGGTGACAGAATACTGTCGCTATGGAGATCTGGTTGACTATCTGCACAGGAACAAGCACAGCTTCCTCCAGTACTACGCCGACAAGAACCACATCGCCAACGGCAGCCAGATCTGTAACGACAGCGATGTGCCGACCGGGAAAGAGTAAGAGTGCATTACAGACGAATGAACATGTGATTTCATTCTTCTGTTACACATATCAGTCAAAAGTTTGGAAGAATTAAGTTTCTGAAAGCAGTCTCTTCTGCTCACCAAGACTGCATTTATTTGATTAAAAATACAGTAAAAATTGTGAAATATTATTACAATTTAAAATAACTGTTTCCTATGTGAATATGTTGTAAAATGTAATTTATTCCTGTGATCAAAGCTGAATTTTCAGCATCATTACTGCAGTCTTCAGTGTCACATGATCCTTCAGAAATCATTCTACTATGCTGATTTGTGCTGCTTCATGTTTTTGTGGAAACCATGATACATTACTATTCAAAAGTTTGGAAATTAATACTTTTATTCATTAAGGATGCATTAAATTGATCAAAAGTGACAATAAGGTATTTATAATGTTACAAAAGATTTCTATTTCTAATAAATGCTGTCCTTTTGAACGTTCTACTCATCAAAGAATCCTGAAAAATTAAATGTTTCACAGTTTCCACTACAATATGAAGCAACACTAATAATAATCAGAAATGTTTTTTGAGCAGCAAATCAGCATATCAGAATGATTTCTGAAGGATCATGTGACACTGAAGACTGGAGTAATGATGCTGAAAATTCAGCTTTGCATCACAATAATAAATTACATATTAAAATATATTTGCATAGAAAACAGCTATTTAATTAATAATAATTTTAACTGTTTTTACTGTATGTTTAAACAAATAAATGCAGAAATGTTGAGCAGAAGAAGAATATTCCAACATTTTTACCGGTAGTGTATGTTTAAAATGAACATGAAATACTATGGTAAATATCAGTCATGCTCAACTGGAGCATGTGATGAAGAGATCCGAATGTAATCAGGTCATATATCTGTGCTCTGCAGATACGTGTCGTTTGGCAGCGAGCGTGATGGAGGATATATGGACATGACCAAAGACGAGCAGACCGAATACGTGCCGATGCAGGAGCTCACGGACACCATCAAGTACGCAGATATCCAGCCATCACCCTACGAGTCTCCTTACCAGCAAGACATCTACCAGGAGCAAGGTACATACTCCACCCGCTGCCTGCAGACCTTCAGATCAACTACAGCTACAAGCCTCTCAAAGCTCAGCGTTACTGGGATTTAATCAGTCTTCTTAGAACAGCATCTACAGCAACCACCCAGAAAACCTTCAATATCTATATAAAATTATAAATTCAATATATAAATTAGAAATATTAATTATAAAACATATAAAATTGTTCATTGCATTTATTAGTAATAATAATCAAAATACACAGTTATTAAAAAAAAAGTCCCCATATAGACACCTGTATAACATTATGCAATCATAAATTAAATATATTAAAATGCAATGCAATTAAAAGTGCAGATCTCTTTTATGCTATTTTATCATTTATGTAAAATATATAAAACTGTGCTTTTTTATTTCATTTATTATTAATAATAGTCACAATAAACTATTTCAGAAAAATATAATAATATATGTAAAATATATGAATTTAAATGTCTTAGAACTGCATCTACAGCAACCACCCAGAAAACCTTCAATATCTATATAAAATTATAAATTCAATATATAAATTAGAAATATTAATTATAAAACATATAAAATTGTTCATTGCATTTATTAGTAATAATAATCAAAATACACAGTTATTTAAAAAAAAGTCCCCATATAGACACCTGTATAACATTATGCAATCATAAATTAAATATATTAAAATGCAATGCAATTAAAAGTGCAGATCTCTTTTATGCTATTTTATCATTTATGTAAAATATATAAAACTGTGCTTTTTTATTTCATTTATTATTAATAATAGTCACAATAAACTATTTCAGAAAAATATAATAATATATGTAAAATATATGAATTTAAATGTAAATGATAAAATATATAAATAATGATATATTATATAATAATTATAAGAAACATTTCTGATTATAATTAATGCTGAAAACAGTTGTGCTGCTTCAATTTTTTTGTGGAAACTGCTAGGCAACCATTCAAAAGTTTGGGGTCAAGGACGCGTTAAATTGATCAAGTGACAGTACAGTCATTTATAAAGTTACAAAAGATTTCTATTTTAAATAAATGCTGTTGTTTTGAGTTTTCTATTTATCGAAGAATCCTGAAAAATAAGATGTATCACGTTTTCCACAAAAAAATACGAAGCAGCACAACTGCTTTCAACATTGATAATAATCAAAAATAAATATGTTAATTTAAAATATAAATGATATAAAACTTTGCATTTTTTTAATTGCATTGCATTTATTAATAATAATAATCACAATTAACAATTTCAGAACATCTTAGAAACACCTATAGCAACCACCCTGAAAACCTTAGACACCTATATAAAATTATGAATTAAATATATGATTAAAAATGCAATGCAATTAAAAATGCACAGTTTTATATATTTTATAATTTAATCACAATAAGCAGTTTTCTTCAATATTTAAAACATTCATTTGCTGAAATGACTGTCACAGGGTTTATAATCAGCACTGTCACACCTGGTTTATCTACATGAATTTGCATATAATTGATTCATCACAGCCCTTATTTATATTTATATTTGTATTTTAATATTGTGATATTGTGGTGATTCAGAGGAAGTTGAAAGCATAGTGTAAAGCCCCGTTCACACCAAGAACGATAACTATAAAGATAACGATAGATTCGAAGCGCACGTGCATCTGCCGCTTTAAATTCTTGAGCTCGTTACAGCAGGATGGATTCTGATTGGCTGTCAGTGTTTTATCGTTCATCAGCTGGAAAAAAATCGTTTTGAAAGTGATCCAAACGATATCGTTCCTCTGTATCATTATCGTTATAGTTGTGGTGTGAACTATGCTATTCTTTAATATTGAGAACGATTTTTAGAACTATGTCTTTATTGTTCTCTTTATAGTTATCGTGCTTGGTGTGAACGGGCCTTAAGACTGTAAGTCTCGTCTTGTTGTGCTGATGTACTGGAAGCTTCTCTAAACTTTTTTTCGCTGTGTGATCTTTGGCTCTGTGTTGCTGTGAAGGTCTTCAGGTTGAGCACAGACGCCGTCTGTGTGACATAGAGATCTCTTTCATAACTGATGCTCATTAAAGTTTCACTTCCTCCTCTGACAGGATGTGCCTTGAACTTCATGAAACACTTGAGGTTTCTGCACAATTTAAATATTATGACTAAAAGTCTCATTGTTTATTTTTGTATTTATTTATTGTTTGAGATGCGGTTTAATTTGAGCTGAGAGGATGTCAGGGTGAATTCAGCTCCTCTCGACCATAGAAAACCCTCATGAAACAAAAATATTTTATTCCTTAGTACTTTTGACTTTTTCCAGTAGAAATATCTATTTATTCTTAAATCATGATATATTCACTTGAGAAGCAAAATGACTTACTATTAAATCTTGTTTTAGTGAAAGTGCTAAAATAACTGAAACTAATAAATAAAAGTAATAATACTATAGAGATGTATTTAAAAAAAAAAAAATTTTACAAAAACAGACTAAATTACTGAAACTTTAACTCAATTTAATGACACAAATAAAATCTTATTCAAAATATTAACTTAAAAAATATTAAAATCTTGTAAATTAACTGAGTTAATGCTTAAGAATGGCAAAAAATCTGTCCATGGGATTAGAAAAATATATATATTTAAAATAAATGTAATCTGAAATAAAATATAAAAACTGTAACAAATGTAATCTGCAATAAAATATAAAAAACTGAAACTTATTTCATTTTAGCTAGTTGATAAAACAACATTTTTCATTTCATTTTCATAAAAACTATTAAAATGGGGAAAAAACACAACAGAATTATTAAAATATAAAAATAAAATCTAATTCAAAATATTAAGTGACTTAAGTGCTTAAAACAGGAATAAAATGTCAGTGGGTTAAGAAAAATAAACTTGTTTTCCTTTTGAATTAAGATTATTTTTTGACCCCATTGACAGATACAGTATTTGTCATTGTTTTATACATAAACACAAAGTTATCAGATCTTTATAATAAAAAAAAATACCATGGCACTGCATGTTTTTTGTGTTTGTAATCAGATCAAATGAGTGTGTGTTTATCACAGGACACAGGGTGGATCGGTCTCTGGTCATCAGTGATTCTCCGCTTCTGAGCTACACTGATCTCGTGGGTTTCAGTTATCAGGTGGCCAAAGGCATGGAGTTCTTGGCCTCAAAGAACGTGAGTGTCTGTCACACACAGTGTTCGAACTATACCGTGGACTTTGGGGGAGCCCACTTGTTTTTTTTTATTTTTATAACGGGGGGGTTCGTGCGCTTGTGAGGGCTTACAATGACTTACAAAGATACATAACAGCTACAAGTGTATGCACTACTTGCTTTATGCAAGCACTATATAGGATAAATCACTATACAGGACATCTGAATGAACACATATCTAAGACGTCCACTAAATGAGATTTTGTTTTTTCTGGTGACAGTTTTGTCTCTGAGGTGAAGCTAAACGCACACATATACAGGAAGTGTATACAAGAATGTCATTATTGAAATATTTAAACTGGAAAAAATAATTCCTAATGTTTTTTTTTTTTTCAGTACAAATTTCCAAACATTATTAAATAATTTACTTGAGACACAAAATTACTTGCGATATCGAGACTTAAATGAAGCGAGTTTATGATTAAAACAAGAACAAACATCTGAAAATGGGGTTAGAAAATTAAACTTGTTTTCCTTTTGAATTAAGTCTATTTTTCTGCCCCCATTTATGTATTTATTTGTTTATTTGTATGTTTTAAGCATAAACTCACTTCAATTTGAGAAAAAAACTGAAATGATATTAATAAAGTCATTTTGCTTCTAAAGCAAATTCATCTTAATTTACAAATGTTTACTTCTAATGGAAAACAAGACAAAATATTAAGAAATAAAGTTATTTTTATTTATTTATTTTTGCAGTCCAGTCAATGGATTCATTTGGACGATGTAGAAAAGCAATGTAATTCACATAAAATGAACAGTAAAAATACAGAATACAGAAATAATTGTTTAAACTTACTTTAGTACATTAAACATTTTTATAACAATGACCGTCTTGACTATAAATGTATTTATACACTTTACAACATTTCAACACATTTCACAGTCTGTCTCCACAAATGTGTATTATCTTCATTTCATATCAGTCCAGGATAAGTCATAGTGTTGCACGTCTTTAATAGGCTGCTTGCAAACGCTGAAAATAAAATCTGTAAGACAAGATCAAATTAAGAGTGGAAGAGTGTGTGGTGCTGACTATAGATAATGGCAATAGCTAGTAAAACTGCTGACCTGCCATTTCTAAACATTAGACCTAAAATTATAACATTAATCCAAGTACTCACCTTCCACCCAAAAGAGTCTGTCATGCAGGTTTTAATATGAACTCCATCACCATCTATTGACGGAAATGGGAAATGCATCCCTAGTAAGCTGACTAACCTTCTTCTTTGAAGCAATAAATAAAACTTTGTGTCTATCTGTCTGTCTGTCAGTGTGTGCATCGGGATCTGGCAGCAAGAAACGTCTTGATCTGTGAGGGCAAACTGGCCAAGATCTGTGACTTTGGACTGGCCAGAGACATCATGCATGACAACAACTACATCTCCAAAGGCAGCGTACGTATATCCGGCGGTTTCTACTGTCTCTACGACTGTAATAAAGCACAATAAAACCAACACATTCAATCAAACACACAAACTCTGATGCTGACTGAAGAGACTGTGTGTTTGTCCGCAGACGTTTCTTCCTCTGAAGTGGATGGCGCCGGAGAGCATCTTTCATAACCTGTACACCACGCTGAGTGACGTCTGGTCCTACGGCATCTTGCTGTGGGAGATTTTCACTCTGGGTCAGTCCGTTCGCTTATTATTATTACTCCACACTGACTATGCATTCATGCTATTGTGCAAATAAACATTAAATATTAATCTCCCAAATTAACAATAATATATGTATTACCTGAAATGTGTGTTCCGAGCAAGCATGGGTTTGATTTCCAGGGAATGCATGCATTGAAAACGTGTATAGATTGTCACTTTGGATAAGGCATCTGCTAAATGCATTAATCAGGGTTTTTATTTTATTTTATTAAAACTAAAACTAAAACCATAAAGCCTTTTTGTTACTTAAAATGAAATAGAAAAAACTTTTCTCCTTTTCTCATTTAATCAACATTTCTCATTTTCATTTAGTTTAAATTGAAGTACTAAAATAACTAAAATTAATAAATAAAAATTTATAAAAACCATAGAGATATATTGAAAAAAAATAATAAAAATGACAAAAACACACAACAAAATTAACTAAAATATTTCACTAAAATTTAAATAAAATGTATAGAAAGTATGAAATCTTATTTAAAAAAAAAAAAACTTTTTTATGAAAAAAAAAATAGTATATGAATGATACTGAAATAACACTGGTTTAAATGTAATGTGATGTAAATGACTTTTACTTTTGGGCAGCTGGAGTTGTATAAATGTAATATGTTTAACTTAACTAAAATTGAAATAAAAATATTATAAAAACACAAAAATGCACAATTACTTGAACTTTAAAATTAAAATATAAAGATAAATAAAAACAAATTAATAAAAACTATCATAGTATCTCAGTTACACTAAAATAACTCTGTTAATCTTTGTTAACATTATTAAAATTGTTCATTGCTAGTTCATGTTAGCTCTGGAGCATTAAATAATATAACAGATACAACTTTTGATATTAACAGTGTAATAAAAGTTGAGATGAACATTAACTAAAATTAAAATATTCTTTAGAAGTATTTTTTATTGTTAGTTCATATTAATGCAATTAACTTAAAGGCACAATATGTAAGATTTTTTTATTAAAATATCCAAGCGCGCCCTCTAGCGGTGAAAATTACATATTGTGCCTTTAACAACTGAAACCTTATTGTAAAGTGATATTAATTCTTTCATAAGTAATGTTTGTTTTTTGTCTTTAAGAGATTTAAAACAATTCATTTTAAACACAAGCACTCACCGTTGAAAAACACTAAAGCATCTGTTCTTTTTCTCCCAGATTTTCAGCTTTTTCGAAACGTGAAAATCTGTGTTTATTGGTGATTTTGTGTGTGATTTTGCAGGAGGAACCCCGTATCCAGACCTGCCCATGAACGAGTTGTTTTACAGCGCTCTGAAGAGAGGATACCGCATGGCCAAACCCTCGTACGCCTCCGACGACATGTATGTTCACGGCGTTTACTACTGACCTGAACGAAAGTGACATAAACATACAGGCTGCATGCTTATTATTGCACATATGCTTGAGTTATATATTCATATAGTAAATCACTCTGAAGATTGTGCACAGTAACAACAGGCAGGTTTGTTTTAAAAAAGAGATTCTGGAAAGTTCTTGTGGCTTTTGTGAATGAATGAGGGCGGATTTGGAGTAAAATGCTGGTGGTTTTGTTCCTCTGCAGTTATGAGGTCATGAGGAAATGTTGGGATGAGAAGTTCGAGAAGCGTCCCGAGTTCTCCTTTCTGGTGCACACCATGGGGAACATGCTGTCAGACGGATATAAAAAGGTTTCCTTTATGTTCCTTGTTTTATTTCCATGGCTACTGCATAGATTTGCAAAGAAATTCTAAATGGAATATTCATTTTCTCAGTAATTCTGTGGTGACGATTTTTGCTCAAATACTTTCTGAAACTACAGGAAGGCACATGCACAAAAACGCAGAATTGAAATTTAAATGAATGAGTTATCCATTCAAATGGCAGTGATTTTTAACATACAAATGAGAAACATACTAACACATTTTAAACAAATCTTCTGTTATGATATGAATAAACTGTAAAGTTTGGAAAGAAATGTGTAATTGCAATATTCCTCAACTTCTTTTCTAAACGTCATTCTCTGGTGACAACCAGGATTATTGTGAAGTAAAGCTATTTACAAAAATGTTACTTTAAATAAAACTAACATTAAATGAAATATTTCAGTTGGCTGACACAAATATTTTTCATTTTCGTTTAGTTTAACTTAACTTAACTTAATGTACTAAAATAACTAAAACTGAATAAACTAAAATTAATAAATAAAAAATGATTAAACTGTTTGGACATTAGAAAAAGCTGATAAAAATGACAAAAACGCACAACAAAATTACTAAAACTTTAACTAAATTTAAGACAGAAAATATAAAAATAAAATCTTTAAAATATTAACAAAAAATATAATAGTACATCAATGATACAAACATAGGCACCAATTCCGAAACCGAGCACCCACAAAAAAACATGAAATATTCTCCATTAACTTTAACCAATCAAAAAATTCAAGAAGAGTCCTCACATTGTGTCCCTGAGTCATAATACACACAAATGCTCTCTGTTTTATTTGAAAGACGCACAAAACGCGCACAAAAACACCTTTTATAAACCAATTTCAAAATTGTATTGAATGTGTAATTTGTCAAACGTGATGAAATCATCTTAATACCATTCAAATGAAGTGTGTGTGATCTTTTGTTTATTATATTAACAAGTTCCTTCTTGTTATACAAATGTGACCCTGGACCACAAAACCAGTCATAAGCGTCAATTATTTGAAATTGAGATTTATACATCATCTGAAAGCTGAATAAATAAGCTTTCCATTAATGTATGGTTTGTTAGGACAATATTTGGCCGAGATACAACTATTTGAAAATCTGGAATCTGAGGGTGCAAAAAAATCTAAATATTGAGAAAATCGCCTTTAAAGTTGTCCAAATGAAGTTCTTAGCAATGCATATTACTAATCAAAAATTAAGTTTTGATGTTTTGATATATTTACGGTAGGAAATTTACTCAATATCTTCATGGAACATGATATTTACTTATTATCCTAATGATTTTTGGCATAAAAGAAAAATGGATAATTTTGACCCATACAATGTATTTTTGGCTATTGCTACAAATATACCCCAGTGACTTAAGACTGGTTTTGTGGTCCAGGGTCACATATGTGTATTTAAATGTCTACAAATATATCAAACTGATTTGAGTTGAGGTAAAAGCATAGATGAAAGCATCCTCTTGTGTCTCCTCAGAAATACTCTCAGGTCAGCGACAGCTTTCTGAAGAGCGATCACCCTGCGGTGGCCCGTGTGAAGCCGCGTGTCCCGTCTCCGTTCCCGAACGCCTTCCCTCCTCAGTCTCCATCCTCAGATCCAAGCCCAAACCCGACCCCGCGCCCGCAGGCCGACGGAGAGCCGCACAACGAGTACATCATCCCCATCCCCGATCCCAGACCAGAGGAGGAGACCCAGGACGGGCCGGTGCTGATGGAAATCCCCTCGAGGTAACTCTGACTTCCTGTGTGCTCAAAAATAAACCAGACGATTATAAACCGCAGAGGATGAAGGAAAGATGAGCCATCGCCTCTTCCTCTTCCTTACAGGGGATCACTTCTCTTTTTATTTAAAAAAATGCATGATTAATCTGTTCATCTGTGCCAGTGGGGCAATTTTAACATAAGAACGAGAGCATGTACTTAAACAGTGATTTATTCATGTATTTATTTTGCATTTATTCATTTGGTAACATATGTATTTATAGTATAAATTTATTATGTGTGTTCAGTGTTTTTTTTCTAAATTATATTTATAAATCATGATCATTTAATATGATAAAATGTGATATAGATGTAATATTAATATATATATAATGTATTTTAGATTTATTCATTTGATCAAGCGACATAAGCATAAGTATATTATAAAAAATGGATTAATAAAATCTATCTATCTATCTATCTATCTATATAATATATTATAATATCTTATCAATATAGTGTTATACAAAGTTGTATTTTTTAATTTATTTTAATTAATTAATTAATTTGTTAATACTATAATAAATAGTATAAATATTTATGTAATATGATGAAATGGAAAGTATATATAATATAAATAACATTAATTTGATGAGTTATCAGAATATTTATCTATTTAATACAATATGTATGTATATTGTTTGCCTGTATATATAATATAATATAATATAATGTAATATGCATATTGTATTTGTAACAAATAATTTCACATTAATTATGAATCTGTTCCACTGATGTTTGACAATGACAGTGTGTCGCAATACTTGGTGACAATTTTCAGTACTACTTATACTGTTTTGTCATCTAGTTTTATATTACATTTGTTTAATTAGAAGAATTAATAACTTTTCTTTGAAGAGCTTTTATATGAGTGTAAAATGGTCTTTTTTTTTTAAAGAATGTGCACATTGTTAACAGCTCCTCCTGGAAGTTCAGACTTCATAACACTGTGTGTGAGTGTGTGTGAGTGTGTGTGAGTGTGTGTGTGTGTGAGAGTGTGTGTGAGAGTGTGTGAGTATGTGTGTGTGAGTGCGTGTGTGAGTGCGTGCGTGAGTGCGTGCGTGTGTGCGTGAGTGTGTGCGTGTGCGTGTGTGTGTGCGTGAGTGCGTGCGTGTGTGTGCGTGTGAGTGCGTGCGTGTGTGCATGTGTGCGTGCGTGAGTGCGTGCTTGTGTGTGAGTGTGTGTGAGTGTGAGTGTGAGTGCGTGTGTGCGTGCGTGCGTGTGTGAGTGAGTGTGTGTGTGTGCGTGAGTGTGTGTGTGTGCGTGTGTGCGCGTGTGGTGTGTGTGTTATGTTGTTAAAGGTGTTCTTCATCTCTCTTCTAAAGCTCGTTAGGTTCTGATGAGGAGACGGTCTCCATGGAAACCCCGAGCACCGAACCTGAGCGCGAGGAGCTGCTGCCAGATCATTCTGGAAGTCCAGAGGTGGAGGAGAGCTTCCTGTGACACACTCCTGCTTCCTGTCATCATCAAGTAATTTTAATGTACTTTTAAGCAGATTTTTATCAAATGCATCAGAATGATATGCTAGAGCCCTCATGTGCTCTTAAAGACTGTCTGTGAAGGTTGAGGCTTGAACCAGACCAGTTTTTCTTTGCTTTTGTATTCTTTTTTCTTGTATTCTTTTTTACTAAAGTGGTACAATGCAGTATCATAAACTGCAGAAAGCAAAGCTACAATCAGCTGATATGTACATTAGTTGGGTTACTTTTTGTGTTAAAATCATTCTCAGCATTTTGAAATTAAGTGCATATTTCATTTCTATATTCAGACAGCAGTCTGTGACTTTTTATTTTAACTTTAGACTTTTTTTGTCAAGATTCTTGTAGCAAACTTGCACTTTAATGTTTATGAATAATTGAAGCAAATAGATTATACACGTGATTATTTGTGATTTCATTTTCTAGTTTTACATTCTGTAAAGGGAAACGACAGAACCATGGAAGCCCGTTTCCACCACTGATTAAAAAAAAAAAAATGTAAATGCGACTTTTTATCTCAAAATCCTTTTTTTTACTCAATTCTGAGAAAAAAAACCATATAAACTCAGAATTCTGACTTGCGTTCTTGCAGTTTAGATTTTTTTTCTCTGAATTCTGAGTTTACTTATTGCAGTTTGGACTTTTTTCTTTTGCAATTATGAGTTTGTATCTCACAATTCGACTTTTTTCTTTTGCAATTGTAAGTTTATATCACAATTCTGACTTTTTTTCACAATTACAAGTTTGTCTCACAATTCTGACTTTTTTTCCTCACAATTATGAGTTTACATCACATAATTGATTTTTTTCTCTCAGAATTTACATCTCACAGCTTTGACAAAAACTCAGAATTGTAAAATGCCACAACTGTGAGATAAAGTCGCAGTTATCTTTTTTTTTTTTTTATTATTCTGTGGGAAACCATTCACAACGCAATGTTTTTATGTTTTGTGCAGCTACAGAATCAAGCTGTTCAGTGTGTGCTTCATACTAACAGTATATCTGAATTACTGAACATTAGAAAGTATATCTGAATGACTCATGGTACAAGAGAAAAACATAATTTAGCTGATGTTTTTCATCCAAAGCATTTTACATTCAAGATAATTTAACCTGCTCTTGGCAGGTGTCTTACACTGAGAAGAAATTTTAAATGCGGCCCAGGCATTTCATCTTCAAATTATTAGTTCAATATCATCCACACGATGTTTAAGTACTTACATTGAACTTTATTTTCATGCAAACACTTAATAACCCAAACACAGGTGTTCATAAAGGCTTCATCTTGTCTGTTCGTCTTGTTTTTTCTTGATTTTAACTGTAGGCATTCATATGTATGCACAAGACCTTATTAAATTGCGCATTTCTGTACATATATCACATAGTAAAGTTACACACTCTAAGGTACCAAAGCTTTATGTATGTTTACAAGTATATTTTTGTATAGATATTTTGTACATTGCTCTTTTACACATTCTATGTACTATCAAAAATAAAAAGTGTGATAAAGTCTGTAATCATCTGTCTG